ATATTTTTGGTGTCCTTATGTATCTAATGTGTACTCCAGGTGTAGTTCAGGTGTATTTAATGTGTGCTCTAAGTGTACTTCAGGTTTACTCTAAGTGTGGTTCAGGTATACTCCAAGTTTAGTTCAGTTTACCCCAGGTGTAGTACAGTTGTAGTTCAGGTGTCTTCATGTGTACTCCAGGGGTAGTTCGGGCATACACCAGGTGTAGTGCAGTTGTAGTTTAGGTGTATTTAATGTGTATTCCAGGTGTAGTTCAGGTGTAAGATGGAGAGTTTAGTTTTCTTTGATGTTGTTGGAGTGTTTGAGTTTTTTTTAAATAAATAATTTGTTTGAATGTTTAGTTTAATTGGGCTGTTCTTGTGGCTCCGCCCACAGTTTCTCCAATCGTTTCATGATTGGTCGTTCCCGTGGAGAAGCGACGGCTGACAGGAGGAAGGATGAGCTGAACGGCTACGTGTGGCACCTGATCCACGCCGCGCCGGAGGTGACTCAGGTGGGCCCAGATGAAGTGATGTCACATGACACACACACATACAGACTCGGGGGGTGCACACTGTAGCGTCAGGGTGGACTGATTTAAACATGACTGCGCAGTTGGAGCTCTGCAGGTGCTTTAGGGTTAGTTAGATAGGCCTGACCTCTGACCCCTCTGTCATATGTCTCAGCAGCTCTTTGTATTTCTTATGACACTCTGAGGGTCTGAACACACTCACATGTTTGGATCATGGGGTTAAAGGTCAGCGTGTGATGATGCGCGCACCCTGAAGTAATGAGTCATAAATGATCAGCCGGAGGTAAAACCGCTCTGAGACCTGCTTGTGCTGGATCTTTCAGTCTGACCTGGTCTACACCTTCTTCCACCCGCTGCCCCGTGACGAGAGAGCAGGAGCAGCCAGCAGCAGACCTGCAGGTAGGTTCCATCGCAGGTGGGCGAAGCTTACTTCTGCTGTAGCTCCACCAGGGCAAATCTAGAGGGCGGAGCCTCTGGTGTGTGCAAAGGTTCATGGGAATATTTCTATTCAGGTCATAATTTACAGAGTTTGAACGAGGTTTACCGTATCACTGCTGTAACAAACCTGACGGTGAAGCTCTGCACCTTTACATACAGGAAGTACTCTACAAAATAAAAGCTCCTATATCAGGCTTCCTTTCTGTTTATTTCACTGCAACAACATGATCTGTCAGGTTGTCTGCTTTCACGGTAATTCTGACGGCTTTCATTTGTTCAAGTGTGTGCGTGTGTGTGTGTGTGTGTTGCAGAGGTATCGTGGCCTCCAGCTTCAGGAAAGGAACTTGGTGAAGTCAAACTGTCCATCTCCTTCAAGAATGACAAACTCTTCATTATGGTGATGCACATCCGAGGCCTGGTCAGTCTGTGTGTGTGTGTGTGTGTGTGTGTGTGTGTGTGCGTGTGTGTGTTGGTTCTCACACAGTTCTGTTTGTTGGTTCTGCAGCAGCCCCTGCAGGACGGTACTGATCCGGACCCCTATGTGAAGCTCTACCTGCTGCCGGACCCAATGAAGATGAGCAAGAGGAAGACGAAGGCGGCGCGGCGCACTTGTAACCCCACCTACAACGAGATGGTGGGTGTAGTTGTTGAAGCAGATGCAGCTTTTGTGATTCTGCATCAGTTCTCCTCGGACAGAACTTCTGTTTGGGTTCTTCAGAACAATATTTCTTGGTGTTTTCGTAGCTGCAGCAGCCTCAGTGGAGACGATGGTTTTTCCTCTCAGTGAAATAATTTTATTATAACTAGCTTTCCAGACGTCTGTTTGGACATCACCTGCTCGGAATCAAAGCAGAGAGCAGCTTCCTCTGAGTCTTCTCTGTGATGTTTGAGTGAAGCTTCATTTACCATCATCTGAGGTGTTGCTCTGCAGGGTGGAAGAAAACGGCCACGGAAGAGGTCCGATCAACACCTTCTCTGATTACATGCTCTCTCAGAGGCTGTGGGGTTAAAAAGGCTCAGACAGAACCAGACGGTGAGGATCCATCAGAACTGGGCGGTGAGGATGTGGATGAATATTTAAATCTCCACTCATGACTTTATCAGTTCTCGATAACAGGTCCGACAGAAAGCTCTGAGAAAAACTGACCATGAGGACATGGGGACGATAAATAAACATTTGTTCTGGTTTCCATCTGGGATGAGACAGATAGATTTATAACTAATAATCGGTTTAGCATTAATCAATAATCCTGACTAGAAGACAGCAGCTACTCCTCCACCTGCTATAGCCAGGTTTCTGTCAGACTCCAGTTCTCTACGGAGTCCACGTTGTCTTGGACACCGCTGGAACATGTCCTCACTGGTCCAGTTGAACAGCAGACCAGAGAAAACTCCCGAGTCCGTTGTTTTGGCAGAGTTGCACACCGAGGCAGCCGGGCGTCGTTACGGCCGACATGAAGAACCGTTGACGCTAAAGGAGGCGGAGGAACACCTGAACACCTGACACGGAGCACGTGAGGACAGGTGAAGCCATGCTAAGCTAATGCTAGCTAGAGCTAGCGGACGCCAAACACGCAATAAAACCAGGAAGTGTTGAAAGACGAGCGGAGCAGAAGACAAACGTGTAAAACGTACGAGACATAAAGACGATCAGATGGAGAACGGGAAGTGACGCGCCTTACTGTCAGCACAGATGCATCCGTTAGTAAAATATTTCACTTACAGACTGGTATTGGTTTTTTACAGAACTAATTCACTTTTCAGTTCCATCACCTGGATGTTAGTGTGAGGAACGTTCTGACCAGAACCACACCTTTAGTCCAGATAGTTCTGGATCAGCCTCGACACAGACAGGAACAGGAAGTACTGAAGATGATGTGTCTGTGTTCCCTGCAGCTGGTGTACGATCGGATTCCCCATGGGGACCTGGACCAGCGCCTGATCCACCTTCGGGTTCTGAGCGATGGCGCCTTCTGGGAGAACACGCTGCTGGGGGAGACCTTCATCCCCTTGAACAGGCTGGTTCCAGGTCAGCACTGGGTGGACTGGCACCAGCTGGGCGGGGCCAGGCCAGACTCCACCCACTGACAGACAAGAACTAAAGGGAAGTCCTTCATAATAAAAGACTGATCTTCCATCAATAAGTGGGTCAGGAGGCGGAGCTTAATGTGAATCACCAGGTGAGACTGTTCACCAGGTGTTTTTAGTTTACAGATTAATTCAGATTTACAGATTTGGGCGGCTGTGGCTGAGTGGTTAGAACAGTTATCCTCCAATGCAAGAGTTGGGGGTTCGATTCCACCAGCAGTCACATGCCAAAGTGTCTCTGGGCGAGACACCGAACCCCTCACTGCCTCCGATGTGTGTCCCATCGGTGTATGAATGTGATAAAGCTCTGATTAGTCTTTGTACAGATGTAGTAGAGTGCTGTATGAATCAGAACACACAGATTGTTGTAAAGAGCTTTGAGTATCTTGATCAGATAGAAAGGAGCTACAGAAGAACCTTACCATTACAACTTTAATAAAATCAGTTTTTCATTAACATTTAAAGAACGAGGCACATTCGACATGATTCACTGTAACGTCCAATAAAACGATCCGGAGACTCACCAGAACCTGGACTGTACAGGGGAGGGGACCTCACGTACCAGGGCTGTGGACCTTCTCTCCTTCTTCAGGTGAATCAATGGACGGACTGTGGAATCGTGCACAGTAACGTGCACGTTTCTACGGGTGAAGGTCTGTTGGTGACACTCGGAATGCATTCTGGGAAGCAGAACGATGTGAAAACTACGAACTACGAAGTGAGATTTGTTGCTTCGTGGAGCTGAAGGTGTTTGAAGAAGGAAGGACTCCATCGGTTCCTGATCCAGTTCATGTAGAAATGGGCTGGAAACGCCAAGTTCTTCCTTTTTTCTTCTTTTTTTAAATTTATTGAATGTAACAGAAAATAACAGAAACATTAACTAATTTACAATATTCCTTGGCTCAGAGGAGACGGAGGATCACACCGAGCCCCTGAATGTCCTCGTGTTAAACACGAGTGAAGCTGGAAAGTGTTCCCGCCTCCAACACTGCGTGGTCCATCAGATGATCGACCACTCCGACGCCTGAGGACAGCGTGTCAAACGTTGTTACATTCAGCAGCAGCTCAGACGCAGCCCATCCAACTGCTCTTTGTCCAGCATTAACAGGTGAGGAGAGACTCACCTGGAACCTTAATCTGGACAGGGCTGTAAAGAAAGCTGCAGGTGAATCATCACATTAACTTTTTATTGAACTGAGAATAAAAGGAAGCTCAAAAACCAAGCTGGGGTCAGAGGTCAGGTGATCTCTGCTTCACTGGACCTCTTTAGAAGATCCAGATGTGGTTTTGTGCGCTGTAGACCAGATGAGTGTAACGGCGGCTGCAGGACTCAGACTGATCCTTCTCTGATCTGGAACGACCCTCGCAGTAGGCGGGTCTTTGATGTGATTGGCTGGGTGTGACCGTCCAGGGGTCAAAGTTCACCTTCCTGCTGTTATCCACCATCAGTTCTCGGTGGCAGGATCAGAGATCACGTGGCTTTGTCCCTTCAGTACTGACAGGTCCAGAGCAGGTCCATTTCTCTCTGTGAGAATAAAACCAGAAGGCTTCAGGTTGTCCGATGAGGCTCCGCCCACCTCGCACTCAGCCTAGGAGCAGTCTGAGTCATGCCGCCGCAGATCGATCACATTGAACTTTGTGAAAATAAAAATGTGACGAGTTTTTTCACCTGAAACATTTTTATCATTTGCACTAAATAATAAACTTTATGTGAAAATGTCTCTGTGTCACAGAGTTGTCTTCGGATTCTGCACAAAACTCGAGATGTTAACCTCTCAGGTGACTTTTATTTCAGCTGTTCACTCTTCAGAGTTTCCACAGCGTGTCCTCCATCTCACTCTGTCCTCACTCCAACTTCCTCCATGTCCTCTCTAACTGCATCCATGTGTCTCCTTTTTGTTTTTTTTCCTGCAGCTGCATTTCTAACATCCTTCTACCAGTATACCCACTGTCCCTCCTCTGGACATGTTCAAACCACTGTCCCTCCTCTGGACGTGTCCAAACCACTGTCCCTCCTCTGGACGTGTTCAAACCACTGTCCCTCCTCTGGACGTGTTCAAACCACTGTCCCTCCTCTGGACGTGTCCAAACCACTGTCCCTCCTCTGGACGTGTCCAAACCACTGTCCCTCCTCTGGACGTGTCCAAACCACTGTTCCTCCTCTGGATGTGTCCAAACCATCTCAGTGTGTCCTCTCCAACTTCATCTCCCAGTTGTTCAACCTGTGCTGTACCTCTGATGATCTCATTCCTAATCTTATCCATCCTTGTCACTCCTAAGGAGAACCTCAACATCTTCATTTCTGCCACTTCCAGTTCTGTCTCCTGTCTTTTTGTCCATGTCTCTGTCAAATCCCTGTCTCTGTCTGGACTGATGGCGTTGCTCCTCCGTGCTGGGCCATCCCCCCGGCCAGTGGCTGTCTAGTTTCCCCGATGCCATCGGGCCGGGGCTCTGCGGTCACTCGTTTAGGGATGAAGATGTTCACATCCTGGACAGAGAGGAATGATGGTTTGAGAGAGGAGTTAAGGAGGCCATCTTTGTGAGGAGAACCTGTCAATTATTAAACAGGGGTGGAGCCTCCGGGTTCAACTGTCCCCCTCTTACAATGCTGTGATTGCTAGTATCACTCAGCCCTCTGTGAGTAGTAAACAGCCATCAGTGTGCTAATGACCCATTGTTTGGCTGATGGTCCTTCTTGAGCATGTGATCAGCTGGTTTGGGTTGTCACCAACAAACTGGTTGATCCACTCGAAGGTGCTATTTATAAGACTGAGCTGAATACAGCTCCTCAGACTGAGGAAGTCTTTCAGATGAACCATGAAATGCTTCTACATTTTTTTGTTGTTTTGGTTTTTTGAATGTCCAGAGGACCAGATTTAACTTTTTTAGATTTTTCTACCTGGATTATTGAGCATGCATCAGGATGCAATGGTCATAATGTTTTGGTGTACAGTAAGGGTTTTACTTGTTCTGAATGTGTTGGTATCGATATCAGCTCAGGTGTTTGCACCTGTGGAGGCGTGACCTGTGAACTCTGGGTCTCTAACACGTTTCTAGCACCTCTGATTACGCAATAAACCGTGACGTGTTGCCGCGCGCTGCCGCTCCTGCCGCGCGGTGCCGCTCCTGCCGCGCTCATGCGCTTACCGGAAAAGGAGTTGTTGCTGTCACCGGGCTTGCTGATGAAATCTCCCACCGGAGCCACAACGGGGCGACGCGGCGGCTGAACGTCCAGTGTTAACGGTACTGTGCAGTATTACCGGTGGGAGGATAAAACATCCATCAGAGCGGGTTAGCACCGAGTTTTTGGGTTAATCGTCACGGGGGTAACTGTCTGTTAGCTGGCTGTGCTAAGCTAACATGCTAGTTAGGCCTCTCGCCGCGTCACGGACAGAAAACCCGGACAGGATGGCTCTTCTCTCCTCGTCGTTCCGATATCATCTGTCCTCGTTTCATGGCTCCAGAATGTTTTGTTCGGTTCTGTTCTCTAGCTCCGGTACCACCCGGAAGAAGTCAAATCACCACTCTCAACGAAAAGTTCCCGGCTCCGGTTTTGTGGACGGTGTTTCTTGGCTCCCGTGCGCCGTTCGTCAGTGAGGTTTGACAGCTGTCAGACTAGCCGCCACCTCCGTGGCTGTTCCTGGGAATATTCTACAATCTGCTTTATGTTTGATAAAATGTTCAGGAGTAGAAACAATGAGGGACGTTTCTCTGACGGGCAGAGCCCATCCTCTTCAGACCGGCCCGCGGTGACCTCGGCCGGCCTGGGCAGCCAGGAAAGCTCGTGGATCGGCCTACTGTCCAGGCCCGCGCTGTCGCTGCTGCGGAGGCTGCGGCTGTGGAGCGCGGCTCCGGCGGAGCTCAGCAGCGGCTTCACCGGTGACGAAAACGAGTTTTTAAGAGAATTAAACGCATTTATACCGCTTACACTCCCCGGTCCTGCTCACCTGACCTACCAGCGGTGTCAGCACCACGGAACCACTGGCCTTCTGGAACCGGGCGCCGGCGACTCTGTGCCCTGGCTGACCGCTGTGTCTCTCGGGGACGATGGGACTCGGAGCCCCGGAGACACGGAGCTCAGACAGCAGACACAGGCCGGATATTTGTCTTCTGTCAGGACGGTGGTGAACCAGGTTCTGTTGAACCCCCAGGAGCTGCAGCCCGCGGGAGGGTGGGCGTCGGTGAGCCCCCCGGTGAGGAGAGGCTCTGCAGGTAAAGGTGGGCCATGGTGGGGCAGCCTTCTGTGGGAGGAGGAGAGCTCACTGTGGGGGCTGCAGTCAGAGCTGTCCCAGCCTGAGTGGGGGACAGACACAGACCGGCTTTGTCCTCAAGCTGCAGCCGGGACAAAGGCCCCCACAGCTGAAACAAGTCCTGTGTTGGAGTGGATGCTGGGAGAAAACACTGGACCCCCCAACAACAAGAGCCTTCACACAGTCCAGAACATGGGGGGGTGCACAGTGGATCGACAGGACCTGGGGTACTCTAGTCTGGAGGAAGAGATGTCCCAGAGGGGCCTTCTGTCCCAGGTGAGGGTCCCCTGTGAGGAGCAGAGTCAGCAAGACCCCCACACACCTGAGATGGAGGATGGACAAACAGGCCCAGAGGAGGATCAGTGTGGGGGGGCCACAGTCCTCCCTCCCCTCCAGTGTCAGAACAAGACCATCGCTTTCATCATGGGGTGTCCCTGCAGTGATGACAGCCAATCAGAGTCCACCGATGATGATGATGATGATGGATTCAACAGTGAGGGCTCCTCTGAAGACGAGGATGATGAAGATGAGGAGGACTCAGACTCTGACAGTGAATCGGACTCTGAGTCGGAGCGGCTCTGGACCTCTCTGTGCCAAACTGTGGATCCATACAACCCCCAGAACTTCACAGCCCGCCTACAGACCAGCAGAACCTCACCTCAGACCACCCCCACCCCTTCTCCTCAGCCCTCTCCCTCCCCTCCCTCTGTACAGGACGTGTGGGACGACTCAACATCAGCCAGCGAGGTGGACGAAGCGGAAAGTCTCCGTCTCTTGAGCTCCTTCAGCTGCTCCTCCGACCCCTACAGCCCCTTGAACTTCCAGGGCCCGCTCAGGACTCATGGGCCCCCAAGGCCCCTTGCCAAAACCAAGGTCGTAAGCAACACAGCCCCCCAGGCTTCAGTCTACAACCTAACATCTGCACCTGAGTACAAGAAGGACGAGGCAGCAGACGACAGGCTGGACAGTGGCTTCTCTGAGGCCCCGCCCCCTTCCTCCTGCTCCGCCTCCACAGCCCAGAGCTGCAGGAAGTTCAAGAAGGTCAGTTCCTCACTTCCTGTTCTTTCCACACTGTATACAGGATGTTTACAGATTGTTTGTTGTTTACAGGCAGTTTGTTGTTGTTTACATCAGTGGTTCTCAAACATATTGGGTTCAGGGACCCCTTACAGGGGAGAAAAAGTTTCAGGGACCCCCTCATGCTAAATAATTTTCTTCAATTTGTCTCTTTAATGCAGTGGAAATATTTGTGTAACATAAATACTTAAGACCTGTTCTTTAATAGTGTTAATACAATTTTAATACTTTTAAACATGGAGTATTTTTCATTCAAGACACATTTAAGTAACAAAATTTAATTTCACCTTCCAAAAATTACAGTTTTGATAAAATTAACTGTATCAAAAACCACTTTAAAACTTTATTCACACAATGAACATAATAAATGTATCGCCCCTTCTTCAAATTATTACAGAAATGTTTTTTTACATAAAACTGAACAGAATCATAGTAGTCGTACTAAGTAAATATTTGTACTAGGTTCTAGTCTTAGCACAGATGATGCAGCATACATTGAGCAGCCACACATTGTAGCTTCTGTAGCTACTCGGCCATGTCAGCAATGACCGTTCATCAGTTGGCTGAGGAACAACAGGTGCTGAAGGTGGTGCATCATGAGGCAGTGGGCTACTGGAAGTGGCAGCTGCAGGTGTAGTAGTGGGCGGTGCAGCTTGACTACTGCTAGCAGGTGCTTGTGAAGGATTTGCAAAGTTAATGTCCAAAGGGATTCAGACACCGTATCCTGACGCATGCTCAGTAATCCAGGCAGAAAAATGTAAACAAGTTACCGCATCATACAAGTTCATGCACTAAATATTTGGAATATGGTGGTTAAAGGGCAGGAAGAAATTAAGATTACAAACATGTATTTTTATTCATATATTTCAAATTGTTATATCTTTATTTAAAGTTTATTTACTTTATAATTAAAGTAAATTTCTTGTGATAGCTTGCTTTCTTAATAAATGAGGTTATATGGCACAGACGATGTGTTGTGGTAAAAGTACGGTATAATGCAGTCCAGACAACCTCGTGGAGCTCAGGGTGTAAAGAAACAAAGATGATGCAAGTTTCAAGTATGAGCTCAGAAAAAGGCCAGCTGTCACTGTGATGACGTCATGTATTAATCCTAAGAATTTAGTAAAAGACTCTTCAAATGGCTGGAAAATGCATAGTTTGAATATTTATTTATTTTAAACAATTCTGGGGGTGCATTCCCCCAGACCCCCCCAGGATTGCTTTACTCCACAGATGCATCTTTAACAAGTGTAATCAATCAATCAATATAACTTTATTGTCCATAACACTTCATGACATGGAGATTTAGTTTTGACATCTGGCTCATACAAACAAAACAACACAAGTTAAAAAACTTAAAAAAAATGCTTTGCTAACCCAGTAACCCAATTTACATGTTGTTTACAGGACGTCTGCAGGTTGTTTACATGTTTACAGAATGTCTGCAGGGTGTTTGTTGGTTGTTTACTGGTGTTGTTTGAGCCTCTGGGCGTTCCGTTGTTTGTTCATGCCTCTCAGGACAGCAGCTGATTGGCAGGTTATTTATTGATAATTAGGTGATGGATTATTTGATTATTGGTTGATTCTTAAGTCTGTTTTTGTTTCCAGAGGTAAAAACTGAACAAACTTCAGAGGTTAGAGATCCAGAACTCTGAACTGGTTCCAGGTCTCCAGTCTTTTACAGCAGCTCTTCATGTTGTGTGGACCCGGTTCTCGGACTCACCTGTGGTTCTCCTGTCAGGTCCGGTTCTGTGACGATGTGGACGAGTTCTTCGCCAGCTGTGGGGAGGAGGAGGAGGAGGAGGAGGACCGGCGGGGCCCATGGGAGGAACTGGCTCGGGACCGCTGCCGGTTCTTGCGGCGCTGTGAGGAGGTGGAGCAGAGCATCGGGTACTGCCTGCAGCCGCAGCACCGACGCTTGATCCTTCAGAAGCTCGGCGTCCCCGACACCTGAGGACATCTCTTACAGGTGGACAGACTGAGAAGACGGTCTGGACTGTGCTTCAGACCCTGTAACTGAGGTTCTTGTTGAATCTCCCACTGTTTGTCCAACACAGGAACCATAAGGTCCTGATGGTTCTGATCCATAAGTCAGTCTGTTTGTCCAACTAGCTGTTGTCCACGTCTTGTCCAACATCAGGGGACGTCTCATGTCCTCAAAAGATTTATTTTAAATATTTAAAGACCTGCTTCAAAGGGATAAAAACTGTGACTGTCTTACTGGTTCTACAGAACTCCCTGGTTCTGTCAGGAAACCAGTGAGCAGGTGTGTTAACAAGCTCGTTAGGAGTGGGCGGAGTCAATGTTTCTGTTCCATTAAAGCCAAAGATGACAGGAGTTCTGTTAATGAAGGAAAGAATCCTGAGGTTCAGAAAATCAGGATTCAGCTGCTGATCCGGATCACTGTGGTTCTGTTGATCCTCTGTGGTTCTGAACGGAGGGAGGGGCCGGGGCCAGAAGAGCTGTGAGTAAGATGCGTTCAGGTGTTCAACACCACAGCTATTCATTCAGTGTTTGACTCCGACCCGTAGAATGTTGTTGAACTTTATAAACTGTGGATCAGAAGTGTGAGACCCGGTGATCCCGGGTGTTCTGATCCGTACCTGCAGTGATTACTGACGCCGGATTGGCTGATTGAAGACAAACTCTCAGGCTCTGGTTTCTAAAAGAATCTTTAGTAAAACCTGAGAGGACATGGAGGCCACCTGGACAGGTGGGGGTCACCTGCTGAGGTCACGTGACCTCACGGTCCGTCCCCTCATAAGGAACAGTGTTTCAGGACTGAGAATAAACGTCAGAGTGAACCGTCTCAGTTTTAACAGGATCTTTGGTGATATTTTAAATGAAAGTTTTTATTTTTCTAACTGAGTGTTTGATTGGTGTTCACCTGTTCTTCACCTGCTCACAGACTGATGATGAAATAAACCTGGATCTGATCAGCTGTGCTTCTCTGGGCTTTATTTACAAACAAACAAACATGACACATTTCTGGGTTTCAGTTCAAAACATGATGCTGCGTTCACTGCAGCTGGAAAAATCTGAAAACTTGATGACCACCAGGAAATAGATTTTGTATTTAGATCTTTAAAACAGTTATAAGTTTATTTGTTCACTTGTTTCAATAAATCTAAAACTTCTGGATAAATTCAAGAACTGAACATTAAAACTGTGCAGGTAAAGCAGCATCCATCCATCCTTTACCCGCTTCTTCCTTTTCAGGTCACGGGGGTCACTGGTGCCCATGTCCAGCCATCACTGTACAAGAGGCGGAGGTCACCTGGACTGGTCTCCAGTCCTTTACAGGGACACAGAGACAAACAACCATTCTCTCACACCTAGGGACAATTTAGAGTCAACAATCAGTCTAACATGCATGTTTTTGGACTGTGGGAGGAAACGAGCACCCGGAGAAAACCCACGCATGCACGGAGAGAACATGCAAACCACCCAAAGGTCCCTGACCGGGATTTGAACGGGCGACCTCAGTGAGAGGTGGCAGCTCTACCAAGTGATCCAGCGTGCCACATAGCATTTATTTAAAGAGTACTAATATTAGTATTTATTATAATATTAAATATTTGATAACATTTACTAATTATTCTCAGTTGGATTCAGTTCACTGCTGTTTTGTTGAAGTTTGTCAGTAGCGCAGTCTAGTGGTGCAAACATGAGTTACAGATTTAGACCGATTCAGAGGTCAGGCCAGGACCACGTGTCCCTGCAGTGGACAGACATGTCCACGTGTCCCTGCAGTGGACAGACCTGTCCAGGTTGACACCGAAGATGGCGGATATTGAGGAGTCACGTTTGAGATTTTTACAGGTTTATTTTTTGCTCCACATTAAGAGTTGATTCTCCACAGAATTTGTCCAGAGAGTTGGAGACAAAAAACAACTTCATCTGACGGTAAGTCGTCCAGAGGAGACGACTCCGGCAGCTCCAACTTTACTGACAGGAGGAGCTGTGGTTCAGGAGGTCTGGATCAGGAATGTAAAGTGGAACATTCCTTTAACAGATTTTGTCAAAACTCTTTTAAAGTTCTTTTTTTAAAACTTTTCTTCATCTTTTTCAGTTTTTTATTTGTTGCTTGGGATCAGAACCGTTCAGAGCCTTTTTCCGCTTCACCTGCAAGTGCCGATGTTCCCTCAGGCTGGTTTTGGCTCCTCCCACCTAAGGATGAGCTCTGATTGGCCACCATGTGACACAGGAAGTAGTTCAACACGTCCCACGCGCTTTCTCTGGACCAGGAGGTGTGTTCACCGGTGACTCCGCCCCCTCGTGGTCATCGTCCTCCACCAGCCCCTGCAGGTATTTGATGTACCTGATGGCGGCTCGCAGCGTCTCCACCTTGCTGAGCCTCTTGTCGTCACTGCGACCCGGCAGGTGGTCCCGCAGCTTGGCGTAGCCCTGGTTGACACACTTAACGCGCTGACGCTCACGCTCGTTCCGCTTCTGGATGAATGCCGGCTCAAATGGACACTCATACACGCTGAAGTGTCCATGGTGGAAGGGGGCCAGGTAGGGCAGGATCCCGGGGCCCCTCAGAGGGCCCTTATAGAAGCCGAAGGCTGCAGGGTCCATGGTGGGGGGATAAAACAGGAACGGGACGGAGCTGGACAAAGAGTCCGAGTACTGAGAGATGCTGTGGTCCTCCAGTTCAGCAGGTGGAGACACACCGAACCGATCAAAGAGAGAATGAGGGAAGCTCATCGTGTGACCCGTGCCAACCAATGAGTGAAGAGGACACCTGGTTAGAGACACCTGCAGAGATAGAACAATGAGACGTTTCAGGTTTCATTTTAAACTTTGTGTCTTCACTAAACTAAACAGGCATTGACAAGTTTTCCCACATGCAACATAAAAGGCTGCCACGTGTCCCAAAGTCTTTGAACAGAACCCTTCAGGGTTAATTTTATTTTTTCTAGATGAATATGAAACATCACTTCTCTTATCCAATGTACATAATGCTGGGGGTGTGTGTCCTTCTAGCTGCACAAAACAAGTCTCCTGGCCAGAAGAGAGCCAAAAGCAATCACATCCTTCTCGTACTTGCTGAAGGACGTGTCCACAGGGACCACCTCGAAGAGTGAGAGGAACGGTGATGGGTGTACAGTTTTTCCACATATCACAGAGACGGTGTCAAAATAGATTGCCAAAAAGTGTGCAGTTTGGGACAGGTCCAGAATGTATGCAGGAGTGTAGCTGGAGTTTGGAGTTTCACCATTTTCTCTTGCTGAGGTCAGACGCTTTTTCCCCTCCTCTCCCTCTCCACTTTGCTTTGCTGCTCTGTCTGTCTGTGAAACTGCTTCTGAGCCTCTCTCTACAAATCTTCCGAACCATAATTATGGACTTGATTTGATCAGTTGGTCCCTCAACTCAATTGATAACATTTCTTCGAAGAGAAGACAAGCTTTAGGCGAGCCAATTTGCCCTGTTTGCACGCACGCAGCTGGATATTTCATCGACTTTGAAGACTTGATGATGTGTCTATCTCTGCTGCCATTTGTGGATTTTAAAGATGCGTTTATAATTTATATTTATGATAACTGGTTCTTGCTTTTTGGATTCGGCTGGTCGCTGGTTTATCTACAATCAAGGAAGTCGTCAGCAACAAATTTGGACCTGATCACGCTGCTTGCCTTATGATGGCTTGGTTCGTGCCTTGAGTACCCAGACTCAAATGCTTTTGGCAGAATGGATCAGATCTCGGGGATTTTACTCAGGCACGTTCTTTTGATGTGGCCATGTAATTTGGACATTTTGGAACCCGAGTGGACCAACACAGACTCAAGGTAGATGTCATTAAGTTCTGCCTGTCCCCAAAACAACTGTATGTTTATCTGAATTTGGCTCCCCTGGCTGGCCTTGAAGGCCACCTTATCTGAATTTGCCTGGAGAACATGTAATTTGACGCTCTGCCCCCCCCCCCCCCCGAGGGATTTCCAACTGATCAACCAGAGGAAACCAGCTGAATAAACACTGCGTCATCATTTCAGGACTCTTGGATTCCCATAGGCGTTGTCCTTGGCCCTTCCCCGACATCACTCGAGAATGTTTACGGATCTCACCCGAGGGAACTGGTTGATTATTCCATCCTTATCAGAACTCTTACAGTGTCCTCAAGTGTGTCCTTGGACATTGCTCACCGCTCTCGTTGTCTCTCCCCCCCTCTGCGGAATGTCTACGTCACTATGTGCTTGTATGTGCGAGGTGTTTTTTAATATTAGAGTTTTTCTTCTCAGCCAAGAAGAAAAAGTTTAATAGGATTTTTTTTGCCTCCAATTCCCACTTGTCCAGTTTCACTACTTTTTGTCTGTCTAAGCAGATCTCACTTGTAAATGAGTCTTCAAGGCTCATTGTGATTTATCTGTCTAAAAAAAGGTTGAATGAATGTTTACGAAGATTACATGCGGGGTCCAGGTCAACTTTGATTTTGGACAGTTTGTCTTTGGACCAGTGCAGCCAGTGCACCACCTTGAATTGAATTGCAGTGTGTCTCTGACAGACTGAGGATGAGTAAATGTTCTTAATGATCCTTCTCCAGATTGAGTCTAATATGGGTTCCTCCAGGTCCGTTTCCCTTTTCAGTTTAAGGGAGTCCAAACTGGACTCATGGAAGGAACTGAGCAGCGAATATATTTAGCTAAGGGTTCTCTTGGTATCAGACCTGCACTCCAAAATCTTAACCACAAAACGTTTAGAGGGGTACAGTGGGAAACAGTCAGAGTCAGACCTCACAAAATGTCTCAGCTGTAGATATATAAAAAAAAACTGTGACTTGTGGATATTAAACTTCTGTACCAGTTGTTCAAAAGAGTCAAATCTACCATCAAATAGAGGTCACACAGTGAATGCACCCCCTCAAGACCCAACTGTCAAAACTGTATCAGCTACGAGAGAGTAAACAAAAGATTATTTGACACAGGTGCCAGAAACTGTAACTCTGTAGAGTTAAATGCTCTCCTGACCTAATTCCAAATCTTAACCGCCCTGCATTTTTGTTGTATTTTAATAGGCCGTTAAACATCTATGTGCTTGTAAAAATAATATTTTTAATTTATTTTTTGGCGGATCCAGGGACTCCAGTTTGAGAACCACTGGTCTAAGTTGTAGAATAGATTACTGGCTCGTTTCTACTTCTTTAATAAATCATATTAGTAAGTGTCTCTGCTTCACCTTTAACTGATCATTGTGTTATTTCTATATATCTTCTGTTTTCAAGGTCAGATCCTGGTCTTACTCGTTTTTGGAAATTCAATAATACTCTTGCAGAATTCTGGTTTCAGTGAAGATGGTTTCCACTGGTTGTGGAAATCAAAGCCTTGGAAATGTCACATGTGAGTAAATGGGAATGGTTTAAATTTAAGATAAGGGAACTGGCTATCCATACAAGTAAAAAAAAAAATGTCTAATTAAAAAAACAAACCTATAACGTAAAATCATTAAGAATATTAATAATTTTTGTAAAACAACGGATTTGTCACCTGAAGAACTTGGTGAATTAAATAAATTACAGAGTGAACTAGATAAATCATAATGAGAAAAAGCTAAAGGTTCTTTTGTACGTTCTTGAGCTCGCTGGATCGAGGAAGGGGAGAAAAATTCATCTTATTTTTCAACCTTGAAAACCATAGGCAACTAAAACAGAAGATTACTAAAGTGAATATAAATTTATCTATTTCTGAAGATGAAACACAGATTAATAGAGAAGTACATAACTTTTACTGTAACTTATGCAAATCTAACTACTCTAAAATTGCACGTTTTTAAACACTCCTAGAGAATTCAATAAAGAAACTGATCTAGATTTTAAACAATTTATGAAAAAACAAATTGAACTTGAGGAGTTAGATAAGGTTATTTTGAAAATGTTCCCTGAGAAGTCGCCTGGCTTGGATGAGCTAACAACTAAATTTTATAGATTTTTTTTGGGAAAGAGATTAGAGAGATATAACACTTTCTTAGAATTTATCTTGACAGTTAACCTCTCTAATACAATGGAACATGGGATAATCACCTTAATTCCAAAACCTAATAGAGATATACAAATGTTGAATAACTGGAGACTGCTTTGATAATGATAGTCTGATCTTGTTCCTTGATTAAGGTGTTCTACACAACTGAACATGCTTTTTTGTTTGAGGCTTTAAGGTTTTTGGGTTATGGGGATTCATTTTGTGCATTAATTAGGTTAAAAACACTAAAGTTCATGCTCAATAATCAGGTATAAAATCCAACAATGTTCAGTCAGGTCATCTGGATAGTTTCTTGTTTTTGCTGAGATGTTTCGTCCTTCATTCAAAGGACTTCTTCAATCAGAGAAGTCACCAACAAACAAGACTGATTCCCACAAACAACACACTCCAAAGTGGAAAACAGTTTACTGGTGTTAAGATGGCCTCCAGGCCCCGTCCTCTCCCTGTCAACTCCTCTGAGACAGTCATGCCAAGTGGTTCAAAACACCAAAGTTCTCAATAATCAGGTATAAAATCCAACAATGTTCAGGTCATCTGGACGGTTTCTTGTTTTTGTTGAGATGTTTCGTCCTTCATCCAAAGGACTTAGACTTCCTCTGTTTGACTTTGCTTCACTTCCTGTTTGACTTTGCTTCACTTCCTGTTTGACTTTGCTTCACTTCCTGTTTGACTTGGCTTCGCTTCCTGTTTGACTTGGCTTCACTTCCTGTTTGACTTGGCTTCACTTCCTGTTTGATTTGGCTTCACTTCCTGTTGGCTTCTTCAGTTTCAACGTTTTGTTTCTGTTTTCATAATCTAAATGTTTTAATTTAAAGTCAGAAAAATGAACAAGAATCTTCAGGTCTCTAAGAACCAGTCAGTTGGATCAGAACCATCCGAGGCTTCATCATCAGAACTGTACAGGGAGAACCAGGATCGGTCAGAACCGAAGAGAAACGTGTCCAGATTCAGAGAAGAGAGGCATAAAGTTTCAAAATTACTTCAGGAGCTTAACCTGTCTAGATCCATCAGAACCACTGAGTCCTGGACCACTGAATCAGAACCATCGAGTCCTGGACCACTGAA